ATAAATAACAAAAGAATGTTTTTATTTAAAATATAAAATTTGTTATTTCAATTTATTATTTTAATTTATTATTTTAATTTTAATATGTAAATATGTACATACAAATTTTATTTAATACGCTTTTAAATTTAACTGATAGTTCGGTAATCATTCAAAAGAGCTGTTCGAGCTGAGTAGAATGATACTATGATCTGAGCAGAATTACGAAGCTAAATCCTCGATGGACATGCTTTTTGTGATGTTGAAAGGGATTAAAACAAATGGTCATAACTATGTTTATTTAAGTCGGATTTCGATGATTTTAGTAACGTTCGACTCAGCTTGAAGAGCTCTTTCGAACGATATACATATAATTTGCCATAAAAAGTTTAAAAAATCGAAAAAATAAAAAGGAAAAAAGGGGGACCAGCCATGGAATTACCGATAGTTCTTTAATTATATGTAGATAAGACCAAATGTTTAGTTTGATTCTTCAGAAATCTAAACCAAAATGGATTTAAAATTTTAGGTAATTATAAAAAAAGCATTAGGAAAATTAAAATTTATTGACTAAATAGAAAAGTATTCTTATAAATTACATTAATTTAAAAATTATTACAATAAGAAAATAATAAAATCTGAAAATAGAAAAGAATCAAGAAAAGGTGGAAAGTTGTTTAGTTGTTTTTTTTGTTTAGTTCCCATCATTTTATATTAATTCAGAAAGCTCTCTCATAACCAAATCAAGGTCCTGTGCCTGAAAAAAATTATTGGTTTATTCATTGAAAAATATATTATTGATGAGGGACTGGGTGGGTCTTTTGGCGCGAGCCCATAAAACAGACAAACGCTAAGTTGACCAAAAATTTCAGAATTTTAATGAGAATTCCTTAAAATGGAGCATTTTTGGGTACAACTTCAAAAATATTTAATGAAAAATTTGAAGTTTTTTGAGGACCCTAGCGAATGAGGACCCAACCCTAGCGTTTGATCTCATTTTTTGAGGACCCAACCCTGCGAAAACCATCTTGGGAGCTGCTATCAAAAATATGCAAAAATACCTCTATATTATACCCCAATCTACTACATACTATACCGTATTTACTCAAATAATTACCCTGGGTAATTATTGTTTCGATCTCTCGCTGGAGGGGGTAATTAATAGGGAGGGGGTAATTATTTGAGAGAGGGCAATTATTATTTCGACCTTTATATTTTATTTTATCATAGGCATATGAACAGGAATATACAATACGTTACCCAATACTGAAATAAAAAGATGTGTTTTAACTTTATTATTCCCTTAATATTTTCCGCAAAACGGATTATAACATCAATACTTCCGTCCTGGGATATATGTATAAAGTTTATTCCTGGTTAGAGGTTACTTCTGGTTAGAGGATATAATGTTAATCTTTTAATATAAATGTCCTCAAAATAGTAAACTTGTATTTCTTAAATTTTGGTCTTTATCAAAATATAAATATTTAATGTACAGTACCTGGACTTTTTTCCTGATTTGGTCCAGTTGGAACTTTTCGACCTTCCACAGACAATACAGCCATAATAGCGAACATCATTAAAGGAATTAAGAAGCTAATGGAATTTTTAATTTGTTGGATCATTTTTGAGGATATTTTAATAATTTTATTTAATTTTTTAAATAATTCTTAAAATAACAGAATATAAGGAGCTTTAAATATTCAAAGATCTTATTGAAAATTTATTTATTTAGATGTTAAAGAGAATATAATTTTTTAAAATAAAAAAATTATTTTTAAAAAAATGATTATAAAATTATATAAAAAATTATAAAAAATTACAAATAATCCCTCCAAATACCCTCCCATCCAATACATACTCTCCCACCTATTCTAATCAAATGAATAAACATAAAGGTATTTAAAAAAATTTATTTTAATTTTTAATTTTTTAAAATTCTTTTTTTTTTAATTTATAAAAATTTTTAAAATTCATTTTTTTTTTAATTTCTATTAATTTTTATTTTTTTTTGTTTCCTCATTTGAAATGCCACATTTTAAATATTTTATAAAATAAATTTAAATTGGTAAATGTATAAATAAATACACAAATTTTGAGCAACGTGGATTTTCAAATATCGCAATTAATTTTAATCCAAAGCTCAATTCATAGCTTAAAATTTTAAAATAAATTTCAAAGCTCAGAAACCTTTGAGAAAAGTTTTTAAAAAATGCTACTAAAAAATCTTTTTTTAATTTTCTAGTGGAGAGATTTTAGATTTTTAAGTTTCTGGGTAGGGATATGATTTATTGTATTTACTCGATTAATTCCGCTGGGGAATTATTTTTTCACTCATCCATGGTATGGGGATGGGGTGTTTTGATAGAAATTGGGGTGTTTGATAGGGATGTTTTGATAGGGATCAGGGTGTTTTGATAGAAATTATTGAAGGGCGGGGAATTATTCGAGTTTTGAAATTTGAGCGTGTAGTAGGGTATTTGGGGGAGGGGATTATTGTTTCAATCTATCCGTAGCAGGCGGAATTATTCGAGGGAGGAGGGAATTATCGAGTAAATACAGTAGGCCTGGATTTTTATAAATTCTGATTCTTTTTTACTTCCTGTATCTGATTTGCTCCTGTTCAAGGTTAAAAACTAGAGTTTAAACCCGGACCGGATCGGGGTTTTAGGGATCCGCGAGTCCCAATCCGGGTGTTTTGATAGAAATCGGGATTTTGATCTGGAAAATCCGGTCCGGATAATAATTTTTTAAATCCCGAAATCGGATCCGATATTTTTCAAATTTTAACTTCTATTAAGAACTCAAACATCGTGTCATTTAAATTAGCTGTTTTCGGGAGCTTGGTCTTGCAAAATAGAACACAGGATTAACCCATCTTTGACTCTAATAAATTCCCTAAATGCATTATAACGATTCTAATTTATTTATAGTTCCAAATATTTACAAAGTAAATATGATGTTCTCCAAATCCCTCAGGAATATTCAAATAATATTCATTATGCTTATCCTTACTGTAATTATTCTTCAATAAACACAGACTTGCATTTACCCTAATGAAAAATGCCATCCGGAAAGGAAAGCATATTCATGTTGTAAATGGCATCATAGCAGCGCAGAGACGAGGTGGATATGTGTAAAAAATAAAGATAATGAAGAATTAGTTAACAATTCCAATAATGGAACTTGCTAAGATGAAATTTAAAAAACCGAATTTTCCTGGAAGTTAAAAAACAAAAAAAAGGGGACTTTTTTTAATCTTAAAGATGGACCTTTAAAATAATTTTAAATTATATACTAAATCCATTTAATTTTTAAAAGTGCTATGAAAAGTATTTTTTGGGATAAATTAGCTATTAATTATTAAATTCTTTCTGACAATTAATTTATTTAAAATTAAAAAGCTAATAATTTTATGTTTTCAATAACGGTAAATTTTCCAAATAAATTCTTTAAAATAAATAAATTTAAAATAAAGTCCATTTCTTTCCTTTACGTAGTAGATGGCTGAGGAGGGCGGAACAGTCAGAGGTGTCGGAAATCGGAAGTCGGAAATCGGAACTTGGACTCAGAAAACGGAAATCAAAATTTTTTTCGGAAATCGAAAGGAAAAAACGTTAGAAATCGCAAGTAGGAATTCTGACCCACCTCTGGTAGATGGGACAGAAAATTGGAAATATAAAATTTATTACCAACTGTACTTAAAATATTTGATTAAACATATAAAATTTCCTTGGCATATAGTTTAGACAATTTTAAAAAATATAAAATAAATAAAAAAAATTTTTTAATTCGATTCTTGTTTACAAAAAAAAGTACAATCATAAAAAACACTGCCTCTATTCCAAATTTTATCATAAGACAGCTAATAAATTTTAAAGTTTTATAGGTTCAAATGTGTTAAATATTAAACAAAAATGTGACAACTTTATTTTTTATTATTATCTAAAGTTACGATTGTACTTTTTAAATAGAATTTTCTTTTCGAATTTTTCGGACATTTAAAATTTCAATAAAAAAATTTTTTTATATGAATCTGAACATAAAAATTTTATTATTAAAAATTCCCAGACTAAATAGTACAAAATATTGGGTATAAAAGAATTTTTGGTTAATCAAGTAAGTATCTTCAGATAAAAATTTTATTCCGAAATTTCACATTTTCTTTAAATTAATGATGCCCTATAAATTTTTGCCTTAAAATATAAGTAAGGCCCCTAATGTCACTTTAATTGAAGAATTGTGTATAAGTTCAAAAATATGTAGTTCTTATTAGGGAAGAAGGTTAAGGGCTAGGTATTTCTTTCTCCAATTTAAGGCCACAAATCCGTTAACTAGAACAAATTTAAAAGCCGTTTCCTAAGGCTGTGCAGTAGCCGGCATGTTGTAATGGCTAACACATCAGTCCGGTCTACCGAAGATGCTGGTTCGCTCTTGCCGCCGAATAACCTTTTGCACTAGCTGAAGGAAAGAAATAGCTATATCCCAATTTTGCTATACACTCTGTTCCAAAATTATAAGGTCACCCCTATTTTTATCATATCTCATCGAAAAACCATCAAAATTTTTTGAAATTTTTACATAATTTATATCTTTCTATTTAATGTGGATTTTTGCCACTATTAGAAACCTAAAAACAGAGGTGACCTTATAATTATGGAATACCTTAAATTTATTTTTTTGGTCATAAAAAATTTTTTAAGGTAGCTACAAATTTGATTTTTTTAAGACAGATTTTAAATAGAAAGATATAAATTATGTAAAAATTTCAAAAAATTTTGATGGTTTTTCAATGAGATATAAAAAATAGGGGTGACCTTATAATTTTGGAACAGAGTGTACTTTAGTTATGAATATCTATTAAGATGCTTAAAAAAGAGATTAAATGGGTAATTCAAACAAAATAAATTTTTATACCCATGCCCTTCATGTTTTTTTCAATTTAATTGGACCTTCTTGTAAATTATTTGATTATCCTCTCGGGAGGATAAACAACTTTATTTGATTAATTTTATTTTTAAGAAATAAGAAAAAAAGAATGTTCTTTAATAAAGTTGAATTAATTTTTGTCATTATTTTTTTGACTTTTCTTTTTTACAATGAAATAAATGGATGTATATATAAATATAATTATCCAACTTACACTCATAAATGCGATCCTACAAGAAATGCATATGATTGTTGTGCAGGCTTAAAATGCACTGCAGCCACTGGTTGGAAGTGTCTTTAATCAAGTAGTTGATTACGAGATGAAAATGAACGGATTAAATATGATGTTAATAATGGAATATATAAAAATTAATATTATAATTGGGTGATTTAATTATTAAATAGTGTTTATTCATTTTCGCTTTCATTACTATTTTGGATAAAATAAAAACTTTACTTTCAGCTTTTATCTTGTAGATATTTATTGAAATTTTTAAGTAGGAAAAAAAATACCAAATAAATTTAAAATAAAGTCCATTTCTTTCCTTTACGTAGTAAATGGCAGAGTTGTCGAAAATCGGAAGGGCCTGAATCAGAAATGGCTCAAAATCGGAAATCTCAAATCAATATTTTTTCGGAAATTAGAAGTTGGAATTCTGACCCACCTTTGTTAGATGTGACAGGAAATTAGAAATATAAAATTTTATTGTCGACTGTACTTAAATATTAAATTAGACCTTTGGTCTCCCTGTATAGTGTATTGCATGGGAATCCCGGAATTTCCGGCCTACCGGAACCGGAACTTCCGGTAAAGCTCTAGTATCTTATAATTATTTAACAGAATGTATTTAATTTTAATTTTATTGTAGAGAGTAATCATAAAGGACAACAGTTCCTTAAATTCGTTCAATTTTTTATTTTAATGTGTTAAAGATAATTTTTAATTGTTGCTAGTCCTCTAAGTCTATAAAAATTAAAATTTTATTTTAAAAAAATTTTATTTTTATTTGTTAATACAGCTTTAATATTTAAATAATAATGACAATTTAAAAAAAATTATTTAATTTCCGGTATTTAATTTCCTTTTTATTTATTAAATAGAGTCGGAGCTCGATATTTAATACAACCTTGGACTGAAAACTTGTCTTAAAATGAGTACTTATTCTTAATTAAATGTATTACTTTGAGTGCTCAACACACGTGGAAAAATTAAATGTGGCTAACATTCTTTTACAATTAAGAAGAATAATTTGTTTGAAAGTATGAACAAATAAAAAATTTTTAATAAAAAATTCCCAGACTAAATGTTTCGAATAAATATAAAGTACAAGATATTAGGTATAAAAGAACGTTTATATGAACAGATATAATGAATTAAATTCAATTTTTAATTTTGAAAATTATTAACAACTTCGCACATTTTCATATAATTTGTAAGGGTAACAAGCAGGTTCGGAGGGAAATTATACCATATATGCTGAAATAATAATTAACTATAGGGTTGCCGGTTCTGGACCGAAGCAAACCGAAGAACCGATGATTTTTCGGTTCGGATATCGGTTCGGTTCACGATATTCGAAGATTTAGTAATAGTCCCCCTTTTTTCTCCCAAAAGTTCCCTATAAATTTATACAAAATGGGAAGAACTACATATATTTTGCCCATAAACAATCAAAAATGATTATTTTTCCAGATCTTTAGAAAGAAAGGAAGGCATTTGGAAGGAAAGTCTGTCCATTCTGTACAAATTATAGGAAAAAACTTGGGGAGGAAAAAAGAGAAAAAGAGGAAGGAAAAAAAAGGAATTACCGAAGATTTTCCAAGTACCGACAACCCTAATTAACTACTCTCAAATAAGTACTTCCTACTTTTTCTACTATTTATAAAATAGGAATAGCCTATGTTAACACAAAATTTTCGTCTGCTGGGCTACTGGGACTAACACAATTACGAAGACAAAGTCAATTGTTCGGATACGTCATTTATTGTTTTCTTTGAATAATTATATACCTTTATTGTTTGTAGATTATCTCCGTAAGTGTGATTGGTCCTGTTTACTAAATCTGTTTGAAATTATGGGTAAAATAATGGGTATTGTATGGGTATTTTATTTCCGGAGCCCTCCATGTTGTGTTTAAGCCTTGGTCCATAAAAAATTACAAATCATTAAAACCCTAATAGGTAATGTTTAATTTCCTTTATTTTTTATTTTTTAAGAAATTAAAAAAATGTTCATCAATAAACTTCAATTAATTTTTGTTATTATTTTCTTCACTTTCCTTTGCTGCTACGAAATAGATGCATGTATACAAGAATATGGCAAAAATGGTTATACTCATAAATGCGATCCTACTAGGAAGGCAACTAATTGTTGTGCAGGCTTAAAATGCACTGCAGCCACTGGTTGGAAGTGTGTTAAAACAAGTGGTTGATTTCGAGATGAAAATGAACTGATTAAAAATGATGTTAATAATGGAATATATAAAAATTAATATTTGTTAATGGGTGATTTAATTAAATAGCTTTTTTTTAATTTCTCGCTTCATTACTATGTTGGATAAATAAAAACTTACTTTCAGCTTTTATCTATTAGGTATCTATTGAAATTTTGTAAGTACAATTGTTAGTTTCAGCCTCAACCGAATCTAAAGCCCCTCTGACCCCCTGCCCATTTTAATTATTATCCCTTTCATGCATGAGACGTCTATAAACTAATTATTATTACCGCGGTTTCCCTCCTGTAATTCTCTTATACCGACATTCATGTTTCCTACGGCAACACTTAATTATGGAATGACACAAGTACTCAATGCGCTTGCCAGGCAGAAAAGAAATATCTCAACAATCATTCACCCCTACTACTCGGCAGCGATTCAATCAATTCCACCGAATACCTTTGCTCGCCACCTATATGCCTACATTCTTACTCTTCTTAGCTGATTGAATACTGCAAAAATTTAAAATAAAATTTCCAAAATCAGAGATCAACTACAACTGATTTATTCAAATTTCAAAGCCATTTTTATAAATAAAACAACACCAAAATTAAATCACACAATTATACAGTTGGAATTCCATAAGAAATTTCATCTTTTTCAAATCCACATTCATTCACCCCACGACGAATTTTGAAAAGGCCTTCATCGCCCCAATCGGTTCCCCAAGAATTTTTTACAAGCCAAAAAGGCATTTCCTTTCCATTGCAGGTTTGTTTTCCATGTCCAATAACAACAACTGCATGCCCTCCTACTTCTGTAGCGTTTGGTGTTTTCTAAATTTTATTTTTATTTATCAAAATATCCGCAAATATTTACAAAATAGACTCCTGTTTTGTATGAGAAAAAGTCTTTGTAGACCATAAATGCAGCTACTAGAGGACCATTGGTTTGAAGTTCCTCTATTATAGCTTGTTCTGTAGAGTTATTTTCGTTTAGAAAAGCAACGGAGTTAACTGTAAATTTTATTAGATTTGACTTAATTCACTCAAAGATACCAAAATGCTTGTCATCCGAATATTCGGTAGTCCAATCTGTGTTTTTACATTCTGCTTCGCACTTTACTTGTTCAGCTTTTCCTTTTGGTTCGTAAGGATAAGGCTTGCATCCATTGTTCCAAACATGATCTGTCCCTGTACACACTCCATTGCTCTGTATCCATTGCCATGCTTTAGAAGGCCATCCACCTTCACAACCATCATAATCAATCGAACAGCTCATCACGTCAGTTGAAGAAAAATGGAGGGAAGGATCATCAATGGACGTACTCAACCCATTTATTAAACGTTGAATACAACTACGATCAGTGTAAGCAGAAGCTGTCGACACAGCCCAACAGCTGCCACATCTACCCTGATTTTGAATATAGTTGATGAAGGAGTAGCAATCTGGCCATTGTTCTCGAGCATCGAATTCAATTTCAGTTTCACAATCATCGTTGTTAGCCAACTTTTCGAGTATAGGAAATTCCGGTTTTCCGCCCCCATTTTTGCCTCTTCCACTATTTTGTACTCCACAAATTCTCTTTTGCTCATTTTCCGGTAAAAGGGAGTAATAATTTACTTTTGCTTTCCAATATCCCCCATTTTGCTCATTAATTTGTGCAATATCTCCAGCGATCTTCCTAATTTGTTCTTCATTTATCTCAACATCATAAACCTCTTTTATTAAAGAAATTTCTTCAGCGAGTTTCTTAACTTCTTCCTCGTTTAATTTGCCGTCAAACACGTTACCTATTATGTTTAGTATCTCAGAAGATTCGAAGGAAGCGATTAAAGCGAATTGTAGGGAGAAGAAGATAAGGAGGATATTAAGCATAATTTTACGTGTTAGTTCAGGTGGGGGATTTTGTAAATTATTTAGAGGAAATATTTAAAGGAAATTGGTGTATAATTCCCTATAAATCAGCTCTATTTATATTCAATCTCGTTAAAATAAAAAATTTTTATGACAATAATTATTAAAGCAACATTTTCTATATTTATGGGATAATAAATATTCCAGACATTTTTTGAACAATTACTTTACTAAAAATTATTTGTTTGTGATTTTTGATTATTTAAAGTTAAAAAGGAAAAATAAATATATTTTTATATTTTATTTATCAACAATAAAAAATATTTATAGAAGGAATAATAAAAACATTTTTTGATTAAAAAATAATGCATATTAATTTAATAATTTGATTTTATTTTACAGAAGATAAATCCAATTTATGTCGATATACTCTGGTAGCTAATTATACGCACCCCCTATTTTTTAGGTTTTTTAAACTGAAAAGGGATTGTGGCTTTCCAGTTTTTTGAGTAGAAAACTTCAATACGTAGAATCCGTTTTCAGTTTGAAAGACCCAAAAAATAGAAGGTGCGTATACATAATTAGTTAGCAGAGTTAGTTTAGTATCCCTAGACCCTACGGCTACAATGTTAGTAACTATCAGTGCTGGGTGGGCATTTGTTGGCTCCGGCCAACTCCCGGAGCTATATCCAGCACTGGTTAGTACTATACTTCTTTGGTTAATAATTTTATTATAAAATTGTCTACTCAAACTGATTTGCACTAAGAAAAGTTTTCAATTATATTTAAATTTAAAGTCATATAAACGCGCTTATGTTTTTATTTTTGAGTTGCTCCGAAATGCCCTAGTGATATTTTGAACAGAAACTTTAATATAAATATTATTAATTTTTTTAATTTTATTATTAATAAAATTAAATTAATTTTCTTCCTTTTCCCTATCCCTAATCAATCGACAATTAACATTAGTAAAGTCGATAAAAAAATTTTTTGCCAGTCGAATTCCCTAGCTATTCTAAGCATTTTACATAGTAAGAGAGAGGATTGATTGGATAGAGTAATTGCCAAATATATTTATTGCCAAATAATTTCTATGTTGAAAAGAGTTGCTTCCAGGGGCCTATTTCTCCCCTCCACAGATTCTGTGTATGTTTCTGCAAAATCTGCGGAACCCATTTTCCGCAGAATCTGTGGAACTGCAGAAATAGAAATTCTGTGGTCTTTGTACAGAATTTTATCTGCAGAATCTGTTGAGGGGAGAAATAGGCCCCAACCAAAATGCCTGCGGATATCCGCCTGTATCCGTCTGTATCCGCCTTAAATATCCGGATACGGATACCGAAATCCGTATCTGTGTCCTAGTCTGCAATTAATGCTTATGTACTTAGATTACACAGAGACTATAAAGTTTAAAAAAAGTTTTCAAACAACTCAACATTAGCTGATAAACACTTGAGGAAACATTATCCTGTTTATCATAATTGCGAAACTGTCGATGCGTCAATAATACATACATATGTTTAATAGTCGTTAAACGCTCGCGCATCTTGTTAATTTAATTGCCATTCACTCATTCATTCGCATTATTTAATTTTTTTAAAATTTTATATTTTTTATAAGTTGCCCTTTCCATTGCCAATGTTTAAAATATTTCTCGGCCTTACAAATGAAAATTTTTAATTTAAAATAAATGTTTTTAAGATTAAAAAAGAAAGTTTGCATATTTTCCTTATGTTTTGGCATTAGAAAAATAAACAATACTTTTAAGATCTTATTTTAAAAGAATAAGAACTTTCAGATTTTAGCTTAGACCGATAGATTTTCTGAACTTATACCTTTTTGGCTTATACCTGTTTTGGCATACAAAAATTATGTTTATGTCATAATAGTTACAAGTTTAAGATTATTTCATTATTTTTAGTTTAAATTTATAAAATGAATTTGTTAAAAATTCCAATTTTTCTTTGTTTTTTATTAACTTTAACTGAATGTATGGATGATAAAGGAGGTAAAAAGAAAGGAAAAGCCGAAGGAAGCGGTGAGTGCTTAAATTCTATATTCGTTCGGTATCCCCCGTTTCACATTCCTGAAATCCTATAAAACCTTTTGCTAATGATTTTATGTATCATAACCTGGTTTATGGGGGAATTAATCGAGAGGGGCAATTATTCGAGGGAGAGGAATTAGTCGAGAAAATACGGTATTCCCAAATTCATAACAATTTCTATTATTAACTCTTCTAAAAATTAATTGAATTTAGGTACTATATTTGAATTTTTAAGATAAAAAATTTGCTCGAATTCAAAGTTTTCAATCTAGTACAGGTTTGATCTAGTGCAAATTTGTTTTACTTATCCAAAGATTATGATGAAAATATAAAGTATTCTAAGTGATTAAGGAGAATATCAGTGGATTAGAGTTAGTAGGACGTTAAGGAGAATATTCCCTAATTGAGTCCCTATAGTTTAATATCATTAAAAAGGATTAGGAGGGATAACTGGGGAGTTGAAAGGATTAAAAAAAACAACAATGAATTTATGCGCGACGATCAATAATATAAAGGATTCTAAGTGATTAAGGAGAATATCAGTGGATTAGAGTGAGTAGGACGTTTTGAAACTTTATCTAAAATGCCCAAATGTATATTAGAGCCCGAATGCAGGAATATCGAAGAATATCGAAAAATATCAAAGATTAATTAAATACAATATTTAAAAGAAAAAAGTATATGAATCTCTTAAATTATTATATTAAGTCAATGATCCTTTGAAACAAGTAATGCTTCAACTTAAAAATGAAATAAAAGAATTAGAAAAAACTGGACAAACGGATACTCGAGAATATTTTAATAAGCAAGAACTGTTGAAAGACTGTGAAAATACTATTGAAGTTGATCGCAAATTTCATCAAAAATTTTCAAGTGAGATTAAAAATGTGTAAAATTAAATTGTTTGAGTTTATAATTAGAGCCCGGACGGTACCGTGCTACCAACGGTACCAAAAAAAAATTTTATATTCTGATAAGTAGCAATAGTTTGATTTATCAGTTTTTATGTATTTTTAAGCAACTTTAAATTATTAAAAATAAATTATAAAAATTATACATTTAAAAATATTATTTTTAAGCCCACAAACATGTATTGCCTCGTAATCCAAATCCCGGCAGTACCTCTGTTGGAGATGATGAACATGCTAATAAAAAAGGTTTTTTAGAAATATACTATTAGAAATCTTTCTAATATTTATAGCCTTGTATTTGACAAAAAAATTTTTAATAAGTTCAATGAATTTCCGAAAATTTGTAAATGCGATAACAAATTAAGAGCCTTTAAGGCCCCTGAACATTTAAACTAGTCGATCTTATAACTGATTTTTGTTTGACATTATGTTTTGTACCCGCAATATGTTAGTTATAGTAGAGCGGTTGGTCCCGTTCCCCAGTGCCTCGTTAGTTAGTTGATGTTATAAGCAAAGTCGCGCATGCTGCAGACATGTGTGAACTCCGCAGAGTATAGAAAATAGGTAATCGCTCGCAGTGGGGGAATATATGGAGACGTCTCTCCTTTAACACGATGGATTGGTCGGCCGGCAACTCTGTTGAATGAATGAAGAAGTGATCCACCTTTGCCTATTCCTTTAGGGCTTATATGCACCAGCCTACTTCCTTATTGCTTTCCCAAGAATAAGTTAGTGGCGATGTTAAGCTTAGATAATGGGCTAATAACTCTCTAGGAATGGCCGTTTGTGGCGTTCTTTGCCTTTTCTCTGGGAACTTCCGTTACTTAGCACAAAGTTTAGAGCGACATTATTGTTCACGTGATTTCAGGATGAACCCGGCCTTACATTATAGTAGATCTTTTAGAAAATTAAAAATCAAATAAAATAATAAAATAATAAATTAAAGATTTTCTTAAGTCTGAAAAAAAAATAAATTTTCAAAAATTTAAGGAAAATTTGTTAAAACTCCAAGTTTTGGTATTGGTGACGATAATTTTTCTGATGAAGATAATGCTGGTAGGTTACCTATATTTAATAGAATTTTCACTGTTTTAACATACTAACCCAAAAAAATTATTTAATTTCTCAAATTAATTAAATGTTTATTAAATTAAGATGGACATGAATGAGAAGATCGAAGAAACATTCTTTGAACAAGTAAAAAGAAAAAAAACATGATGATTGCGCTAGGCATTTAGAACAACATTAACAGTAAAACTATCAACATTTATTCTAAATTATATCAAAAATTTTGATTTTTAAATTAAACCTCCCCCCTAGTGATGGTCGGGATTCCCGGTCTCGGTTCCCGAATCGGGAAATTTCCCGGGTTTTTTGAGCTCTCGGTCTCGACCCGGTACTCGGTCTCGGGGTCGATTCCCGGTCTCGGTCTCGACTCTCGGGTTTTTTTTAACTCCCGACCATCACTACTCCCCCCCCTCTCTATATTTAAAAAAAAAGTTCAATTATTTGAACATCCTTTCCTGTTATTGTTATTTTCTTATAGCTGAAATCTTTTTATTATTTTTAGTAAAATATTTTCTTGTGATAAATTCAAAGTTTTATTAGATAAGTTTTTCTAGTTATAATTCTAGATAGATTTTGTATAGTTTTACTCATGAAACTAGAAGAATGTTAGCATTAAAAATCTTATTCTGATTTTGTTCAATCCAGATTTAAAATTCGTTAATAAGATTTATGAAATAGTAATAACCGGAGGGCAGAAGATGATACTTTTTGTCTCGTTCGACATTCACCTTTTAAATGACGAAGCCGAAATTTTTTACATGAACAGGTCTAACAGTTTTTAATAAGTTAAATAAATCTCTTCAAACGTAACACAAAAAAGTAACACATCAGTCCAGTCTACAGAAGATGCTGGTTCGCTCCCAGCCGCGAATAACCTTTTGCACTAGCTAAAGGAGAGAAATAGCTATAGCCCAGCTGCTTTACTAAATTAAGAGTCATTTAGGCTCCTGAGTATTTTAGCTACAAATTGGGGTTGAGCGTCATGGCGTCTTGCGTTTGGCGTGCCTTAAAAATTTGAAAAATTGGTGTTCAACGTTTGGTGTTTC